CCAGTTGCGAATCAAAGTTTCGCATTAGTACCACATTTTACCTTAAAGATGCAATATAAAAACTTATATCTACTTCTCATAAATAAGAGTGCGCTCACAAAAGTAGCACTACTTTGATCCACAATCAAGCGCAGAATTTTTTTTAAAATCGTTAAAAAAACGAAGATAATTCTGTTTTTTCAACTGAGCTAAAATTGGAAATTGGCCAGCGTAAAGAGTTTGTAAGCTGACGTTTCGATCGTTAGCCCTTCTTCAGAGCGAAATGTTAAAAAAAGAAAGACAGGTTTCGTTTTTTTAATGGCTTCTTTTCTTGAATTTATATGTGAGTTCGAATCACAAATAACCCTTTTAACTACAGGTGAAAATTGAGTTAATGGAGAAGTGTACTTTAGTGTCATCAAAAGACGACAAAACTAAAGAACTCTGCCCCCAAATTAAGGTAACGAGGCCTATAACTATTGGGCCCTGAAGTTGTTAAGTTGATTTTCTAAGCGCCACTTGAGTTAAGCGATGTTAATACACACCGCTTTTTCGAACAAAGTGCAGGCTTCAACACTTAATTGGCTTTCATTGCTTTGCTTGAGCGAGCCCGCCCAGTAATTCTGAATTATCCGAGTTTTTATTGTAACAAGTCTAAATAAGCCGGCACAGCTGGTTACTGAAAAGTGTGTTTCCTAAATATCCCCTCGTTGTAAATAGCGCCTCGGCCTAAATCGACTGAATGCCAAATCGTGCTGTCACAAAACTGATTAAAAGTATCTTTCCCCTCTTTCTCTCAAACGCAAGCAGGTTCCACATTCATAAGGCTCGCAGTTTCCAAAGCAATTCTTATCAGGCGACATTCCATAGCTTTGACTGGTGCCTGCTACTTCAATTCAAAACCCTCGATGAAGCAGGTACGAAAAGAAAAAAAAAGCGCATTTCAACCTCTTGTGAGTTCAACAGCCATGTTTAAGCAATTTCTGGGTGCAATTAAAAATCGTGTCGTTTAAGAATACAACAATCTATCCCGAGCTTTCCACTCCTATTCTTACCATATGTTACTGAGGTGGGAAAAGTCCTTTTTTAAGGGCATGGCCTGAAATTCTATAACAATGGAAATTTTCAGCGAGGCAGGTGTTGTATAAATCGAAGCGCCCCATTGAACAAAAGATTCTCATATCAAAGAGAACTGCTGAACCCCTCACCTAATAAAATATAATTTGGCTGCCGACGATGACATCCAATTTAAAAAATACATTTATTCACGTGTAAACTTCAAACAATTACTCGTCGAAAGATTTATGAATTCGTCAATCGTCAAAAGTCATCAATCACGAATTGAACATTTCCTGATAGAAGTTTTAGCCTTAAAGGCCGTTACAGATGTTACAAACCCTAGCGGCAATCAAATCTGTTTTGTAGTTTCGTGTGATTTATCACATTTCTGACCCGCAACCGAACAAATGAAAATAGAAATTTTTGAGAAATAAATGATGAGGTTCGGTTCTCTCAAATCTGATATGTGCTAACTATGAAAGTTAACAGAAAAAAAAGACTGCCTTCATTAGCTCCTGTCACCAGCTAAACTAGGACCGACAGCAAATGAAGCTCAAATACTTTGTTAATTAAAAAATGAACAAATTGGGCTTTGGTTTGTATGTTGAACTGTGCGTGTGAAATATTTCCTTGTTAGCCTTCAGTGCCGGTGTTTATCCGTTCTTAAAGGAAATCCCGGCCAGCAGTGGCTTTCGAATTTCCAGAAAGGCCGGTACATCGGGGAAAAACTCATTGTTGAACATGACATGAACTGTTCCGGGAAATCATAACCCTCGAAAATTTTAATTGGGTGAAGAAATTCACATCTGAAATAATTCAACGAGTTTCCTTACACGTAAAGAAAAATAAATTTCTTTGTTTTTTACCAACTGTCCTCTTTCTCAGAAAACCTCAGCAGGGAATCCTTCCTGTACCACGAGTAACAATGAAAAATAATTAAGCTTAACAAGCAATCCATGAATAGCAGTCTTAAGAATGGCCGTTTTCAACCGAAATATATTTTTTTCTAATTTTCCCTTCTAAACCTGAACATTAGGCCCGCGCGTTTAGAAGGAGCCCACCTTTCAAGAGTTTATGAACTTGTTCTAGCCATTTCGCCGGCCCCTAAAGTCATCGACAACGAAACACTATCCAACCACAAAAGCATAAGTTAACAGATTGCTACTGGCAATTTCAATTGAACAAGATATTCAAGTAGCTTTTTTTGTCATAAGTGCACGTTAAACCGTATAACAACAGATGGGTTTTAAAAGAAAAAGCTTAAGATGTGTTTCCTTCGCCGATCAACAAATAAAATTGTAACAAACTGGGAGATTGCTTTTAACAACCCTACAAGCAGATTTTTTTTTTCCTTCAGCTGAGGCATTCAAACTCAACACATTTCGATTCGACGGTAGTGCTTAGCGTTTAGTTATTGTGTACCTTAATTGACTTTAACTTGAGAAATAATTCTCAAAAGTTTACTAGTCTCTCAGCGGGGGTTATGATTTTATGATGGGTATCCACTTTGCCGGTTCGCAACAAGCTAATAGAAAAGCAAATAAACACAAGCGACCGTACTTGATTTAATTAGCGCCATTGTTTGCAAGAGCTTCACTTTTGGTCAAGTGAAATTTACCCACAGTGTTGTTTGGAACGTCCACGTGTAAAATAAAGAGATGTTTAATTCATACACACACCTCAAGTGAAGATTAAGAAGATTGTATTCAATTCTAAGGGGTTTAGATGAAATAACTCCTTTTCTTTTCAAATAAAAAGTGTGAAAGCACAGGAATACAAAGAAACCACTCAAATCTTTCTTCAAAAGCCGAAAGGCAATCTTTTCTAATACCGAGATTTTTTTCCATCGATATGTGAGCTACACGGAAATCAAAATTCCTCTCGACAGAAACACGACAATTAAACCACCCAAAGCCAAAATGTATTTCCTAATTTCATTATCGAATGCGCTTGCGGCGGAGCGCGAAATGTAAACATTCCTACTATAAACAACCCTATTAACACGTACAAAATGTTATGTAAATACCAACATTTACCTTTCTAATTTAAAAGACACCTTGTTAAAACCGTGTTTAACATCCAGCCTTTATACGCGCACGCCGTTTCTAGAAGCGAATATGTGTTGTCTAAAGGTTCATCCACCGCGAAACCCACAAAAACCAGTGAATTTAATTTTCACCAGATTCTTATCGGTTCTGACAGACAAGGAAAGGTCTGCAAACAATAGGAACCTAGTCAAATACCCTTGCGACAACCGGACAATCGATTGGAGACAACTACGTTGGCAACGCATGCTGAACGCGCACATGAACGTTCTTTCAAATACGACTGGATACTCTTCGAGCGTTTGACTTTACAGGTTTAATCTCTTTAGATGTCAGCCGAAAGTGAAGAGGGGGGCGTACCTTCGCAATTTGCACTCAGATTTGAACAAGCCGGTAATATGACCGTAGCTGGAAGAGTTTTTTAACATTCTCTATAATTAACACTTGTACTGCAAGCCTAAGGCAAGTTGACCCTCTAAATCGGTTTCTCTATTATGCGTCTCTGTTCGACTAGAGGAACAATGAGCTTTTCCGATTTAATGCAGGCTTGCAGCTGGAATCCTTATCGCCCGTTTAAATTGAAGGTGTCATTGATTGTACGCGAAGTCGTTGATGCGCTCTCAGAACAGGCAGAGCATCAATCAGGAGCGGCACATCAAAAGGTTTCTAATTAAATCTATCAGTTTTTAAGGCCATCGATAATTTCGCAAACCACGCCTGATGGCACAATATTTTGCTTGCGTGTGCGTTGAAAACTCAGGCCGGTGAGTCGAAGCGCAAAAGCAACTTTACATGTATTAGAACTAACAGCTAAGAAGATCGAAGGGGAGGTATTACGCCAAACCACCCGTATCAACGTATCTCGCCTTCAAATCACTGCAGATTGTTACTTCGGCGGGACCGCTTTGATCATCGTCAGGTATGAATAACTTTAATATGCCCACGTATTTTAGCATTTTAAGAGAGTTCTGAAGAAAATCAGTGTTTACAAAACGTTGCTTGCTAATGAATTCGCTTGGAGTCGTACAGTTTTAGAAACCAGATTATGCCCCATGGCCCAGAAGTTGCAATACATTTGAGTGCCGGCAAACTGAAAGTAACTTAATACTAATTTGACTGCGCGCATCACGTCGAGAAACCAAACAACGCTCCTTACACTGTTTCCATTCTCTTCAATGAAGTCCATTTAAAATTGCCTTGTCTCTTTTCGATTCTTTTATTTCAGAGAAACTTTCTTATTTGTTAAAACATCTAGGATTTATTGACGGGGATTAATTTTGTATCGTATTATTATATTGTCTACTTACTGAATCCATGGTGAGAGTGTATACATACATAATTCTTTATGATAGCAGCAAATCTTTGTTAAAGCGATTCTCTGCGGGAAATCCGCTTAAAAACGCCACATAGTGCGACGAAACATTCACCATTTATACAAACCCATTACAAAGTTGTAATCTTTCGAGAAACCCCGCCGATAAAAATTAGGAACAACAACAGAATTTTTAACCGACTCGTGTATCCGATGGGGTAAATTAAATTGGAGTTAAATGTAGTCGAGAGTTCTGTGGAGCAAACAACACTCTTTGAAATAAATTGCAATTATCATCCTTGCTAGTTAGAAAACAATTACCTCCGTCGCCGTGAAAATCACATCTCAAAACAAGCTAAAATTAAATACATCCTTTGGAATAATCTCGGTGCCGGCTCTTAACACGAAATCTTTTAGGAAGTAAAACAGGTTTCTGAATTAAGGAAGTATTCAGTCGTCGAAGTCGAATTTCAAGACGTGTTTTCAATCGTAAACAAATCATGGAAATTTTTTTTTTAGTCTATGCACGGATCAGTAGTCGTAAAGTGGTGCGTCTTTATGGCATCATATTTACTGAACAGCCCTCGACCGCCCCCTTTCTCAACTAAATAACGCCCCCGACTCACTGTGTGCCACCCACAAGCTGATATTTATATCTAAAAAATCTCTCGACAAAGCAAGAACATTGGTCTTTCTGAGGCACCGGTCATCATAACGAGCTAGCATAGCGGACACAATAGTATAACGCACGAGTTGAAGTACACAGAAACTTATGTCGCAGTGTAAAGCTTTTCCAATTGAGACAATTATGGCTTCCGATTCCAATCGAGAGGTGTGAAGTGGCAGAACTCGAAATCTTAGCCATTGCAGCTGCAAGTGTTTTGGCTAGATGTAATTGTCAACATTTTGGCGAGCTCCGAAATTACACTTTCAACGCCCGCCTGAAGGCCGATAGAGTTGGGCCTTTGTTTGTTGGTATGGATTGGTTGCGAATAATGGTTCCATTTGGAAAAACTTATTATATATCAACAAATCCCTATCATTCAATCACATTGTGTCATGAACGGCCCTGCTGTATCGCTGATTGGCTATGAACGAGAGTGGCGGCATCTCAAAAGGCTACGTACTTGGGGTTTAGGCTGAATTGAATCAACAGTCCATCTCAGAGCTCGTGGGGCGTAGAAGTGTTCGTGAATTTGCCGACAAAAATAGATCACAGAACTTCCCTAAATCAACCCAAGCTTAAATTCTATGAGAAGGTTTTTTTTCCATCAGGTTTGTTCCGTTGTATTTGTACAGGAATTTAGTGTGATTTGATTAGCAACTTTAAGCTGATTACACCACGCGCGCTAATACGATATGTTTGACGGCCGCTGCTCGCTTCTGTACACGTTTCATTTTGTACTTCTTGCAGGAGCCGGGAACACGGACAGATTACAGATTGACACCTCTTGCGATGCTCGCAGCGACTTGCAGTAGAATTGGACAACAATCCCCGCCACCCGTAGCTGACGTGACAAGCATGGCTAAAGGTTTCTACCATTGGAAACAACCGAATTCCCTTCCAATTCAGCGCGGAAGGCCGACTGACAGTGGCTTGTATTCAAATCTGCCGTCCGCCTTTATGCCAACCAGCGAATCTTTAAGCGTTCAGAATCACGACAGCTTTCTCAGCAATCCGAGCTATACAACAGGACACAATTCGCTCACAGATCCATTAGCTATCGCATCGGCGAGTCGCGTTCATTCTGCTTCTGTTGAGGCATCAATTTATCCAGCGCGGATGCCGCATCCCTACGAAAGCTCGCCTTGGTTTAAACCACCTTTAGAACCCCATTCACAGGCTTCAGCTCGGCAGGCGTTCTGGGAAGTACACAGTAATCCCCCCTGGCTCGACTCAGCCGTATCAGGCAGCTCGTTTCATCCAACGTTAAGCCATTTTACAGGACTGCCGCATGAATACTCTACAGGAAGTTTACCTATTCCTGCTGCGGTTTCTGTGGCGAGTCATCCGCATTTTCTACCCCCTCCCTGCCTCGGATCCGATCCCATGAAAGCTTCTCTTCCTACGTATATAGATGGACCTTCTTACTTTTCAGGGACGACAAGTTTATTGCCTTCTACGCAGAGTGTGACTGCAAGAGCGACTCGACGCTACACTGGTCGCGCGACCTGCGATTGCCCCAACTGCCAAGACAACGAGAGATTAAGTGCGGCTGGTGCACCTTTTAGGAAAAAGACTCAACACATTTGTCACATTCCGGGCTGCGGCAAAGTGTACGGGAAAACCTCACATCTGAAAGCTCATCTCCGCTGGCATACTGGCGAGCGGCCATTTGTTTGTAACTGGTTGTTTTGCGGAAAGAGATTCACTCGATCTGACGAACTGCAGAGACATTTACGGACGCACACTGGCGAGAAACGATTCGCTTGCCCCATCTGTAATAAACGTTTCATGCGAAGTGATCACCTGGCAAAACACGTTAAAACCCATAACAATGATACGGTGAAGAAAGGAGATTCAGAAAAGGAGGAAAAAGAAGACGAGAAAGCCACAAACGGCGCTGACATTGAACGCGCATGTAACCTGTCTGAAAATGGCGAAAGTAACAGCCTGAAGGTTGCTTAGCTTGTCAAGGCTGGAGAGTAGTAAGACGTTTCGATTTTATTGATAAAATGTTTTTTTCTTCTAGGTCTATGACGCTCATCCTAACATAGGAAAGCTTTGAATTAATGAAAGAAAATTTATCACTTGAAACCTTTGTGAACTCGGCGAACGCGAGATAGTGTTAACGTTGTACATATTCGTTTGACGTCGGCTCGAGACGTTAAAGGTATAAGATTTCCAAGTTCAAACTAGTTCAAACGAAACATTCACATATGGCTCTCACTATTAAGGATATTTTTATCTTTGCAAAGGGACTTCAATTCTGATCGAAGGTAAATCTTTCTTGATGAGTTAAACATTGCCTAGAGTGAACGGAGTAACAAAGACAATTTATCACTTGTTTGAAACAGAGAAAACATTTTTATGCTATCAAAATGACAAATTTTGAGCCTTGTTCAATTGTATTTAAATACTGTATATTGGAAGTTATTTAATTGAACAAGACATCAAAGATTCAGCCTTTAATATTTACCATTGAGTTGTACATAAAACCTAAAAAAGCAAAGCTGGACCTTGAAACTAAATTAAAGAGAGAGAGAGAGGGTACTGTTTCAATTGCAAAGATTGTGTTTGAGTTATGATAGTGCTTTTTTATCTACAAATTTACGTCTCTTCTCGAGTACGAATTACATCATTTTCACAATTAGAAAGACATAATACTCAGAGTTTCAGACACACTGGATCCCTGATGTGATCTATAATGGCTTTCCGCGATGCATATAAATGGCTTTCTATCAGTCACGAGTAGTATTGGAATTGAAATGGCTTCCCACTGCAATATAGTTATAAGTCTATAGATAACCACTTTAAAGCATTGTTTTTTCCGAATATCCACGATAAAATCCCCGGCTTACAAGTGTTCGGCTTGTAGATATGTATTCTCTAAATTATTATCCTTTCCGATCCACAAGATACAGCTTCGTTCCGGGTGGTACTTTAAATCGAACTGTTTTATCAAACCGTGTGAAAAACTCTCTCCGTGGTTTAAAACTTTAGGGATTAACACAGATTTATTTCCCGTTGTGGTTGAATGCCAGTCGAGAAACTCACTTAAAAAGCGGTTATTTTACAATGGCACTTGAAATAATTCGCCAGACATGCTTCGTTTTCTTTTATTTACAAAGCACACAGAAATTGACCCTGGCTAAATCTAACACATTTTTACAGAAGATGGCCGCAGTTTTTTGAAAAACATCAATGCAATGGCTTAGTGAAAGCCTGGGTAAATAACTACCTTTTCAGAATCTTCTCTTCACTCTCTTTCCACGGAAGTTCCGAGGCGAAAATAAACTCACTTTACTTCTCTTTAGCTAGATTTTAAAATCTTTTTGATTTACTTTACAATATAGGGACAAAACTTGACCAATTGAAAACAAAAAACTTTCCCTGCAATACGTGCAGGCTTTTCGTGTCTACTCCAAGTTGAAATGCACAAAAGTGCGTGCGAGGGAAATCGAGCACGGAAGTCTCTAAGTAGTAAAGTTGATTTGAGAGGAAACGTTTTATTTGTAAAGCTTATCAATTCTCTTGAAGTGCTTTTTTACACCCATTTTGAACGTTTCTCATTCATCTCGTCAAGATACGGGAAGACGTAATTATTTCCACTATTCAGGCAGTTAATACCTCTAGTTCGACCAGCCGAGTCTTCAATCTTCATTAATTTAGGAGACATTGTAGCTTGCTTGCCGCCGTACGGGTGTCACATTCGGATAATTGGAATAATCACAAAGCAAGCTGTTTGACAAGCTGGCACTCCTCCTGGACAACTTTTATATACACAAATTCCTTTTTCTCCCGCTTTCTTTACTTAGTTGTGGGTACAAGAGAAAAATGGCTGTTTAGCGCGCGTTTTGCGAATGGAGGCACCCCGCATGAAACTTATCGCGAACGTAAAGACATCTTCACGCTTGAGAAATTGAGTTTAATTCTCGCCTAAACACAACATAAACAACTCCGCGTGGAGCGGGAACGGATCAGATTTCCTACTTCGCCCAAGGCTATGGAAAAAATTGTGATTGATGTAGGTCATATTTATTAAAAAGAAGTCGCGGTGTTTTTGTGAGGGAAAAAATACAGAAGTCATCGGCGACCGGAAAACTTTTAACAACAAAGAAACCACAAGGAATTAGCGCAACGACCTTTATGTCCTTTGCGTAAAAGATTTTTCTAAAAGACTCTTTGCTTGAGATAATCACTGTTTTTGTTTGTTTCTGCCTTTGATGATATGGCAATTTTAATTCAGTGAGTCCCTCGAGAGCTCTGTCTTTGAGGGCTTAGAACCACCTCAGACACGCTTGATAAACATGCTCAAATTAGAGCTTGGACGGGATGCCGACAAAGGCTCCTCGCGACCGCCTCTTCTAAATTAGTGATCAACTTCTTTCGATTGTCTAGCGAGGTATTACTGCAGTGTGTTGTTTTTTCGCTATTATGAACAGAAGGAAAATAACTCTTGCCCGGCCTAATTGCTTTCACAACAGTAACTCAAGGCTTTTAATTATCGCAGGCCCACCGCGCATTAGAAGTCGAAGCCAGTTATCGAAAGGTTGTTTAGGTATTTAGATCGAAGTGAAATCCATTTTTCTAAGTAGAATGCTAGAGAAGGCTTTGACGCAAGTATAATTGGGTTTGCATTTAACGGCTTACGATAATTATCGAGGCGTCTCGTTTAATGATACATAATAGTTCTCAAAATATTCCTTTTTCCCTACTTATAACTCACATCAGGGGGTTCCCCTTGCACTAAAGCACGGCCAAAATTGCACGGAGACATTGCGGAAATTTCGAAAAATTACACTTAGTTGTGTTTGCAAATTCAAGCCGTATGCGTGAAAGCAAAACAAAGTTTTAAACCCTTAGGGCTTATGGTAGAAAATATTTCACAAACAAAAGAAACTGAATTCATAGCTTCTCAAGATTGTCTGAGGGTGCATTCATGCGTCAGGACCCACACGTATTTACTTATTGTCAGTCTCCCTAAATATCGACACCGACTAACCGCGTCCAAAAGTTAATGTAGGTCATTAAAATTACAAGAAGTTTTTGAAAAAGAAATGGTCTGAGCCAGGAAAAAAGATAAAACTTTTTTTGCCGGGCTTTAAGCTTTGTCCTTTTGATAAACCTTTTTTCCTGATACAGACGAAAAATTGAAAGCAGAGATGTTCCGTTTATAGGTTCCTACATCCTACGCAAAATGCTTAAGCTTTTTGTTCGTACCGCAGCGGAGGAAACGTTGTTTTTTTTTTTTTTTTGGCTTCTGCTCGCGGTGCCTTGTAGCGGAGATTCGTGACACAGTCAAATGAATGCCCTGAGGACAATTATAAAACTGTATATCGTTTAATATTATCAGATGTAGGTTAAGATGTTTCCACGATAAAATTATAGCCCGCGACAAAACGTCAGTACGATCTTACTAAAATTTTTGCTAGGGAGTTCTGCGGTTCTTTTAAAACTTTCGCTTCAACTGTTCCATCTTTAAAGATAGAACAAAAATATTAATTCTTGTGTGACAATTAATTCCCGCAGATGGTTCATTTTTTTCCTATGTCCTTTTCATCCTCTTCTTGCCAAACAAAGAGAGTCGTTTTAAGATTCCTGTGTAAGGAAAAAGGCATACCTTTCGCTCATCAACTTCCAATACGAAAACAGCTGTGCCCAGGTGCGGATAACATCAAAGGATTTGGCTGCGACTTGCCCAGCCCCTCAACTTAACCGATACAAAATATCTGACTAGAGCGCTATCTTCAATGAGTTAAACCTGTTTTAAGTAAACATATCTATTGAAAAATCGAGTTAAGTGAGATCTTGATAAAAGATTAAGAAAAATTAGTAAGACAAGGAAACAAACGCTCTTTATCGCTGAATTTTCAAAACCACACTTAATTTGTGTTCGGTATGATTTCCTTCTGTAGTTGAACAGATGAATGAAATAAGTTGATGGAAAGTGAAGCAGGGAAGAATGCTGAAAATTATTGAGAAATATATTTAAAAATAAAGAATCACTTTCGAACTGAGTACCTAAACTTTCGTTTAAATGAAGTAACTTACGAGGGTCGAAAGTTTGGACAAAAGCTTACATAATATAAGTAAATAAAAAGTCAAAGATTCGAGACACGGTTCCTCTATTTTCTTGTCGGGGAGACGCCCTTTCAAAAGAGAAGTTCTGGAATAATTTTTACTAGATTTTTGAATTAAATAGACAATGAATATAATATTTCGCAAAGGAAAATTTTCATGAGAAACATCGAGCATGAATGCAGATTTTTGCGAGGGCAGATTTGATAATAATAATTCAAACTGTACATTAATTCAAACTTTTCAAGAGAGTAGCCGAGCTGAAGTAAATAACACACAGTAACCTCTCGCCCACAGCGATGGCGAATGGCGCACCTTGAAAAATCGTGGGTCTTCGCTAAACTTTTCACCCGATCTAGCAAATGTATCAGCCTTTCTGTAAGGTCTTTTAAAAAAGTCTCGCATTTCTTACAAAGTCATTTAAGTCTGGGATTCGTTATTAGTCGAGGTTATAGGTCTAACGGAAGCTTGATTAGCCCAGGATTATCTTTTTGAGCGAAGAAATTCTGTGTATTATTGCTTTTGTTTGAAAATATTGTAATGTAGGGGGTGAGTTATCACAAAAACGAACGCATGTAAGTGGAAGTATTACTACTCTATTCGATTTTATCGTGTTATTATCAGCAGCTTACAAAATTCTCATACAGCGCGCGACAGTAGAAATGTAGACTATAGCTAAAAATAATTGTCACTCTCGATCTCGGCTTTTCAAACAAGGATCACAATGTTCCGCGAGTTTCGTATTCATCCAGCATTCGCCCAACCCCTTCAGCTGGAAATCATTGATGCACATGTTTGAAATAGCCCTTATCAGCTAAAATAGATTTCGATGAGGACAAACAGCGTCGTATGTTTACAATTTCCTAATAGGAAACAGCTAAATGTCACCATCATCGAAGGTCGTGGCTTTCAAATTTAAATTAACAATTTTCATCTATTTCACATTCGATTCATTCCATCAAGGCGATAACAGAGTTTTCACTGTACCAATTTAAGAAGACTTAAAGGCGGTTGTC